AGCTGAGCTAAATCCCCAGCCCCACAACAGTCTTGAAGACATGCCCAATGCTGTATTGGAACTGAATAAGGAATAACTGATAAAAAGAAAAGGCTGGGGAGATAGTGTAGCAGTCTAAGCACCTGCCTGGCAAGAAGGACCCAGGTTCGATCCTCAATACTGCATGCTGTGCTGGCCCTGGGATCCTGGGCATGCCATGCTGGCCACTGAAACCAGGCGTGGTAGTACATGCCTGTAATCCCAGCACTGGGGAAGCTGAGACAGGAAGATCACTCTAAGTTCGAACTGCATAGCAAGACCTTGTACCAAATACATAAATAAGATTTTAAGTTTTTTAAAGAAAGACAAAAGGTTTTCAATTTACATTAATCTGCCAGGAAGCATATCCAGAGTTTAGGGAAATCACTTGTTGAAAGATTAGGGTCACCTACGTGAAATCTTTGCAGTATGGAACAAATATTTTAATCTAGATCTCTGATGACTAGGGGAATTTCAGTGGATTTAGCAGACCCCAAATCCTGGAGGACAGAGATTTACTCCTGAAATTTACTGAAATTTCCTTTGGGTAGCTATTACATACATATATATGCTAAGAGTTGGATCCTGGGACTCACAAGATTGTGGTAGCTGTTTTTAAATTTGGCAAGCTGAGTGGGATCATGAGTTCTACCAGACATGCTCAGGTGACTCCCTTCACATTTTGTTAGGAATCTATTAAAAACTAGAAGCAGTATTAACCCACAAATGGTAGAACTGGTGTCAATTTATCAATAACTGACTGGAAAGCTGAACTCAGCACTTTAGGTATTTTTCCCTCCCTCCACACACAGGAAGCTTCTTCCTCCACCTTTGTCTTTCACTCCCACCACATGCACTGCAGATCTTCCATCCTATATAAACCCCAAACAACATGGTATCACAAGTAAAATGTTATTTTTCATAAGGCTGGGGATTGGGCACAGGGCAGATGCTGTAAGTGTTCTACCACTGTCAAATATTGTTAGTCCCAAGAATTTTTGACTTTTTTTTTTGAGGTTTTTGGTTTGTAGTGTAGGCTGGCCTTCCAACTGTGTAGCCCAGACTGGCCTTGAACTTGCAACAATTGTTTTCTAGTTCACAGAAGATTATATAATTACAATAGCTGGCAAAGATTCCTAAAGGAAAGAAACTGATTTATGGCCATTTTTGTAAAAATAAGGTTTAATAAAACACTGGCAATATAAATTAAAAAATTACAATGAGAAATTAAAGCATCTTATGGTGTAAGCCAACCAATATAGAAGAAGAGAGGTATGGCCAGTGCTGGTGGTGTGGGCCTGTAGTTGCAGCACTCAGGAGGCTGAGGCAGGTGGATCATTGTGAGTTCAAGACCAGCCTGTGCTACAAAATGAGCTCAGGGACAGCCTGAATTGCATAGTGAGACCCTGTCTCAAAAAGACAACAAAGCAATAGGTAGATTGGTTACTGTCAGCACTTACGTAATTTGGACAGGTTTTGGCAGTTTGTAGCCTGTAACTAACTGCTCTGATTGGCTGAAACCCAACTATTTGTTACAGGACAGATGTTCCTTGACTTTCAATAGTCACATTGATACACCCATTTTAAGTTGAAAAATATACCAAGTCTAAAATGCATTTAATATATCTAACCTACTGAAGTACCACAGCTCAGCCACACAACAGGAAATCAATGGTTTGTCATGTCTGCCCACCATTAGTGAATTTAATGCTATACCACTAGCCTGGGAAAAGACCTCAATTCAAAACCTGAAGTATAGATCCTATTGAATGTGTTTTGTTTTTATATCATCATGCTAAAAAAATTGCCAAGCCACTGTAATACAGAGATCATCTGAATACACTCTGAAGTTATGTAGTGTTCTCTACATATTATGCTAATAGTTTGAAACTTACAGGAAATAACTTTAAATTTTTATGGCTTGCTCACCCTGCCCTGGGGTGGGGCTGGTGCAGCATGTGGTTTACCTAAGCTTGCCTAAGCAGGTGCTTTAGACTGTTGAGCTATCTTGCTGGCCCTAGAGAAGATAACTTTACATTAAGCTTAACTTAATAATTATCCTTTTTTTTTTTTTTTAATTATCCTCTTTCAATCAAGTTGCTTTTCTTTTTTTTGGTACTAGGAATCGAACTCAGGATCCTGTAATTCCCAGGCAGGCACTGTGCCACATCCCCAGCCATAATCTTACTTTTTATTTGTGTGTGTGTGTGTGTGTGTGTGTGTGTGTGTGTGGCCAGCTCAGCCCGCCAGGGGGCAGGGCGAGCTGGCATGTGGTGCTGGGGGATTGAACCGCGGTCCCTGTGCTTTGCTAAGCTTGTTCTAAGTAGGTGCTTTAGACCACTGAGCCATCTCACCAGCCCCCATAATCTTACTTTTGGGAGAAACCCTAGCATTAACATCACCTTCTGTTATTATCATTGTTTGATTTCAGTATGACATTCAAAAGACCAAGATAGCTTCAGTGATCCTTCATGCGTTCAAATTTTTATTATACTAACTGGAATAAGATCATTTTGAGGTACAAAGGATGACTGCAAAGGATGGCTTTTAGTTTTAAGCTTTACAATTTATTCTTCCTTGCACTTTTCAGTTTGAAACAAAAATAACAATACAACTTGCTTCTGAATTCATGTAATCTACCACGTAGCATGTATCTAATATGTTGAATTATTTGGAATGCTGTTAACATCTGTGTTAAATTATGTAGAAAAACTAGAAAGATTAAAGGAAAAAATAATGTAAGTTACCTTGGAGTCACAAGAGTCTTTTCTACCACAAAAATGAAGTTTTATTTGAAGTAGCTATGTTATCAGGAAATATATATATATAATGAATGTAGTGTTTGTAAATGAACAAACTGTTAAAAGTGGCTAAGGGCCTCTGAATAATTTTTCAAAATGGTAAATTTCCATCTTTAAATTTAATAACCAATATTCATGTACTCAGTTTATTTATTTTTTTCCTATTTAGTCTTGACTTCAGTTAATTTCTTTAAAAACATAGGGGCTGGTCAGATAGCTCAGCAGACTAAAGTGCCTGCTTTGGGTTCGGTCTCCAGCGTGCCGTGCTGGCACCGGCCTCGCCTTTGGGGTGTATTGAGACAGTGATTGAGACTAGGCATGGTGATACGCGCCTGTAATCCCAGTGCTTGGGAGACTGAAAACCAAGAATCACTACGAATCTGATCTACATAGTGAGACCCTGTATATCCTGCACTAACTTCATTAAAAAAAAAAATTAAATTAACATACTCAAATTAATAAAGATTGCCCTTTTCTTGCCAAAGGATTATTTTCTAACCTTCAATATGATTTCTAAAATAATATGTCTAAAATTCTATTACACACTGCTCAATTTTATACTCCACTTAGGAAATATGCTATCACATTAGGATAAAAGTGTATGCAACCTAATACATGTACAATTCATGAACAGTTTCAGAAAGTAATTCAAACCATGTCAGAATGTTTAAATATTTCACTGTTTAAAACAAAAAAACAATAAAATAATCAGCCAGGCTTCGTATTAGACAACTTTTACTAAATGAGAAAACTACATTTAAAATGTGCTTTAAACCAAAATGAAATTAGAAAAAAAGACATAGGCATTTTAAAGAACTTTTGCACTGTGCTAAAATCAAGTATTTCTTGCAGTAATACAATGTGCCAATCCATAAAGTGTAAGTTACAGAATTCTCAAATTATCATTTTCAAAGATAATATTAAGGTCAAGAATTTCACATCTATGGTAGCACACAGAAGGGGTTTATAAATACGATGTCCATTCCTATGAAGCTTACAAATTTGACAATGCTCAATAAAATATTTTAGAATCCCATCCAACAGTGTCACATCTAAGAATTGCAAATCTGTGTTCTAGAAGTTCTCCTAAAATCATTGTTGACTGTTCTACTACTTGCCATTCCTTAACGCTAACCTTGGGGGGAGGGGGAGCGGAAGTGGAAGGGGTAGGGGACAGAGAAAGGAGGGGGGAGAAAGAAAAAGAACAGAAAAAAAAAATGCAACAAACGCTTGATCATGTACAGAAATTATTGCTACTATAATTCACTACAAAGCGTATTTATACATTATCATATGACCTTTGATAATGAAAAATCAGAATAAAAATCTTTAGTGACACAGCCTTACAACTGTACACAACATTCACATGGCAATATTAGATAGCGAAGCACCCAATACCCATGGTTGACAAACTATCTCACTGATCAGAATTCATTAAATATATCCTTCGTATAGAGGGAAGAAAAAAAGATAGTGTCAGCTTTCCAAGGCTTGTCAAAAAAGGATTCTCATGTTTTGTGGATCTGAAAGCAATCAAAACAACAAAACCCCCAAAAAACAGAATTGATGCAGGTGAAGGTGTTATCAGAAAGTTAAGCATGCCAAAAGGTGTTTCGTGCGAATTAAAACCTAAAGCCAAGGTACCACATAATCACATTACCAACTAGTTGGGTAATACTATATGAGCATTATCTTTAAGTTAAATGAAATGCTACTGCACAATACAGCATCAATAAGTTAAAAATTAGAGTGCACAAATCCAAATCAGTGACAATTTTTGTAAAAAGCAAAATATTCACTATTAGCTGTAAAGTTCACCCAGTCAAACTGATTAAAATCACTAGATTGGACTGTCTGCACATTTTTTTTTAAGAATTATCAATCTTGAGAACTCCTTTTTCCTATAATGAGGTGTAAGTTGTCTTATTAACATCAAAAAGGTATGTAAGTAGATAAGCAAAGAAAAGTAACAGTTGATGAAGTGAATACATTTAAAGCTCTTCTCGTATTTCATTTTTAAAAATGGTTAGGGGAAAAAAATTAAAGTAGTTGCCATTATTCTAGCAGAAACAAACAGAACAAAATAAGCTCAAAATAATTAAACAACCAAGCAACACTAAAACCACATTACACAAATGGATCATCATGCTTTCATCTGGTTTAACTATCACATCTAGTTTAACTGGGATGCTTTTCAACTTTAAAAATTTTGCTATGTGAAGGTGAAACTTTAATGGATAATTTTGAATTTGGATTTAATTTTATTGAGTATTATAACAGTATGCTTATTACAATACAGTGTAGCACATCTTTCTATTAGAAAAAAATTTAAGATCCTTTACCCGTCTCCTTAAGTTAAAGGTGTGACATCATAAAGGGTGTCAAATGGCTGGATGGTTTTACAGTGCACACTTATATATTATGAAGTATGTCCTTAACAAATCTGATGGTTTCTTTATAGGATTCCTTTCTTCACCTTTTCTTCGGTGGATTAGCTGTTCGAGGTGGAGTGACAGGGCGTCCAGAATTCAGTCCACCATACTGGTACTTAGCTTTCTTTTCAGATGGTTTCAGTATCTTAAAGTAAATTATTTATAATAAACAATGTTATTCTTTCATAAATGGCTTGAATTATAAACGTGCAATAAAAAGGTAAAACAAAACAGCAAAATTCCAGAAATATTTCACATTTAAAGAATGTGGCACAAGGGGTGGGGTGTAGTTCAGTGGCAGAGCACACACTTAGCATGCACAAGGCCACTGGGTTCAATCTGCAATAACAAAAAAAAGGCACAAAATATCTGATAACATGCCATCATTCCATCAACTTTTTAGTAACAAAAACTAGAGTATATTATCCCTATGAACTACCCCATCCTTAAATGTATTACTTTTATCCCCTAAATCAGTTGTGAGCACAAGTGGCTTAAATGTAAAAAAAACTTAGAACCTCATTAACTACAGCATTTATTTATGAAGGTAAATAATCTGTTAAGTCATAAATTCTTCAGATTTTTTTTCTATGTGTAAATTGGTAATTTTCTTAAAAAAGCCTTCCCCAATGGCTTTATCCATATACTTTTCAAGCCATAACATTCACTTATTTACATACATAGGAATGACCTGTCAATTATCTATCTGATCCCATCCATCCATCCATCCATCCATCCATCCATCCATCCATCCATCCATCCATCCATCCGAGTCAGGGTCTTGCCATATAGTTCAGGGCTGGTCTTGAGCTCACTATGTAGCTGCGGCTGGCCTCAAACTCAAGGTGATCTGCCTGCCTCAGCTTCTCACTTTCTGTGATTTCAAATTTTAGCATTTTTGTCCACCCTGAAAAGAAACCTTGTTCATAGTAGCAGTCATTCTCCATCTTTCCATAACCCAAATATTAGCAATTACCTATCTATGTCTCTATAGATCTGCCAATTCTGGACATCTCATGTATTTGCCATCATATGACTTTGATGACTTGCTTCTTCCACTTAAGTTTGCAAAGCTCACCCATGTTGTAGCATGTAGCAGTACTTCATCCTTGGTGCTAAGTATTCTTCACTATGAATAGGCCACATTCTTAAAAAATTTAATCATTCAGATGGGTTTTGGACTTGTTTCCACTTTGTTTTCATTATATAATGCTCCTATAAACATTCATGCACAATACTATGTATGGACCCACATTTTCATTTCTCTAGGGGTGGAACTGCTGGATCAAATAACTCTTGTTTTGATGAAGACCAACTTTTTCCAAAGCAATTGTACCAATTTACATTTCCATCACCAATGTATGAAGTTTAGAGTTATTCTACATTCCTGTGAACAGTTTTTACAGTGTGACTGTTTAATGGGTATACAGCTTTAATATACATTATAAACAAGTAAGAAAAATGTATAAAAAAGATAAAGTATTTCTTAAAAGGGGGGCTGGACATAGCTCAGTGGTAGCAGTGCTTGCTCAGCATGTTCAAGTTATGATCAAACCCCGGGTTTGATCTTCTGTGTCTTTAGTTATCCTTTCGTGGCTGCCTCAAAGTCCCTATCTTCAAAATTTTCACCTTTCATGCTCATTTTGACTTTGGGAAAGAGCCAGATGTTGCAAAGTGCCAGACTCAGAGAATGAGGTGGATAAGTCTTAATGTTTTCATGAGCATGCCTTTTTGTTCCATGGCACTTGGCAGCCATGTTCACTGTATTTCTGATTATACCTTATAAAGAAGCTGAGGAAGAGGACCTCCAGAACTGCTTCGGAAAGTGGCAAGAACATATAAAACAGGTTTGTTTGAAGCAAGGGAAGAGGGTCCTCTGAGGGGAATTAATGGCAACATGTCCTTTACTACAATACATTTAAAAAAATTTAAACATTCATCATATTTTGATAACATTTAGTAAGGAATTATCAGTTGGCCCTACATATCCACACATCTGAGAATTCTACCATGAATTGAAAATATTTGAGAAAAAGTATATTGGTAATATACATGTATAAACTTTTTTCCTTGTCATTATTTTCTTAAACAGTACAGTGTAAATCTAAGTAGGGCCGGCCAGATAGCTTAGCAGACTAAGCACCTGCTTAGGCAAGTGCAGTGACTGGGGTTCAATCCCTGGCACAACTTGTTGCACCAGCCCCATCCCAGGTGCACTGAGCCAGCCACCAAGCCTGGATGTAGTGGCGCAGACCTGTAATCCCAGTGTTGGGGAGGCTAAAAACAGGAGGATCACTAGGAGTCCAAGCTGCACAGTGAGACTCTATACCAAATACATTAAAAAAACCCAAAATACGAACCTACAAAGCATACACATTGTGTTAGGCATGGTAAATAACCCACAGATGATTTAAAGCATATATAACACAATTTTATAAACTATATGCAAATATTATACTCTTATATATGGGATTTAAAAATCTTTGGTTTTAGGTGAAGGACATTAACACTTGTAAACACAAACTACTAAAGCTGTTTTAGTCAATGAATAAAAATGATTTGAAAACATTCAAGAGACATTGCTAGTGTCTTTTCAAAATGTTTTTTTTTTTTTCTATAAATTGGTACTTTTAAAATTTGTTGTTATAAATGCATACTTTTAAGATCTGGAACAGTTTTAGGTAAATACTTTATTTTCATCTGAGTTTATACTATAATCCTGTCCCTAATCTATCCCATCAATCCATGTGGTAAAAACAAAATTCTAATTTTTTTTTTTTTTTTTTTGGCGGTACTGGGGATTGAACTCAGGACCCTATGCTTGCCAGGCAAGAACTTATTCTACTGAGCTATCTCCCCAGCCCCAAAACTCTAAATTATCTGTTGTATTTACTTTCTCTTAGTAGGTAAGCCACTAGCCAACAGGTCATCAAGGAATTTAACAATTCTGACATCTGAATCAGAATAATTGACACAATTTAGGTTCCCTGAAACCCTCATATTTGATATATACTAAAAGTGCTGAGAGATTTGTAACTGCAAACAGAAATTTCAGTCAGGCATGGTGCATACACCTGTAATCCCAGCACTTGGGAGGCTGAAACAGGAAGATCACTATGAGTTCAAGGCCAGCCTGGACTACATAGTAAGTTTAAGGACAGCCTAAAGTACATAGCGAGACTGTCTCAAACAAACCCAAAAACCAAAAAACAAATGCAGATAGACATTTGAGTCTAAATGATAATCACTTCTGAATTAAGTGATTTTCAATATTGTGCTTAAGATCACACATCTAAAAGAAAAATCATTCTGTCAATAGCTTTAGAATTCTAGTTGATATAAATTTATTACCTGAAATGAACACATCAGAGTTTCATCCACACTCATCATCCCACCAGCATTATCAAATTCGCCACAGTAATTTGGAGCTGAAAATAGGGTTACCAACTGTCGTTTTGCAAAAAATTCATATCCATCTTCCACTACCTGCAGAAAGAAATGTTAAAAGTAAAAAGCAATAGATAATCCTCAGCCATCTACACTAACTGGGATTAATATAGCAAAGGTCTAAAAATTCCTCTGCTTTGTTTTGGAAGCTGTGAAATTTTCTTAAATATCGCTTAGAAAATGGAATAATAAACTTGTTACGAAAAAACCATTTTTAAGATTCCCCATGAGACAAAAAGAAGATATGTTAATAGGTACAGCAAGCACAAGGAGCTGGGATACCAAGTATTTCTTTGACAACAGTAGTATAATCCAACTATGGAAATTTTAATTAAATGAGCAATAGACAATGAAAACTAAAATTTGGGCATGGTGGTGCATGCCTGTAATGCCAGCACTCAGGGGGTTGAAGGAGGATTTTGCGTGTGAGAGACCAGTCTGGACTACAAAAGTAAGCTCAAGACCACCCTGAACTGCATAGTGAGACCTTGTCTCAAAAAAAAAGAAAAGGAAAAAAAAAAAAAAAAAAAAAAGAAAAGAATCTATCATCCATCCATCTTTGGGCTGGTGAGATGGCTCAGTGGTCTAAAGCACCTACTTAGAACAAGCTTAGCAAAGCACAAGGGACTGCAGTTCAAACCCCAGCACCACATGCCAGCCAGCCCCGTACCCTGGTGGGCTGAGCTGGCCACACACACACGCGCGCGCGCACACACATAAATAAATTAAAAAAAAAAAAGAAGAGAAAAAACAAAACTTAAGGGGCTGGGGAAGATATCTCAGTAGAGTAAGCGCTTGCCGGGCAAGTGCAAGGGCCTGAGTTCAATCCTTAGTTCCACAAAACAACAACAAAAAACCCCCCCCCAAAAAACGCCCAAACCTAAACTTCGCAAAAAGTTTTCTTTTTTGCTTTATATTTTAAACTGTTAGAACACTAAAACACTGACAAATAATGAAAAAAATTACTCAGTTATACACCTCATCCTTTTTTATGAGGCCAGCAGGGTCTTATTATGTAGTCTGGGCTGACCCCATACTCATGGTTATCTTCCTGCCTCAGTCTCCTGAATGCTGGAATTATTGGTGTGTACTACCATGCCGGGCCAGATCATAGTTTTGTTTTTTTAATTTTTATTTATTTATTTATTCATTTATTTAGTGTATGTGGCCAGTTCAGCCCACTAGGGGGCGGGGCTGGCTGGCATGTGGTGCTGGGGGATTGAACCGTGGTCCCTGTGCTTTGCTTAGCTTAGTTTGTTCTAAGTAGGTGCTTTAGACCACTGAGCCATCTCACCAGCCCAGATCATAGTTTTTAAATTAAGTGTCAGACTAAATTTTTATACGATTTTTTCCCTTATGATTTATAATTAATGATTCCTAGAATTTGTTGTTACCTAAGTGATTTAAATCATTTATTCAGATATGAGAGGCAAGCAATACGTGTAAGCATGATTATTTTCTGAAGCCTATTTTATATATCCTTTGGAAACCTAAAGTATGTTGTTTGCTAGTGAAACATAGTAACTCCAAAATAAATTACTTTTAAGAATAATTTCCACCAAGGACCAGCCTGATAGCTCAGCAGATTAAAGCTCCTGTTTGGGCAGAACGCAGCTGAGGTTTGATCCCTTGCGTGCCTTGCCGGCCCTGCTCCCAGGGCACACTAAGACTGCGAGTGAGACTGGGCATGGTGGCATGCGCTTGTAATCCCAGCTCTTGGGAGGTTGTAAACAGGTGGATCATTACAAGTCCGATTTAATAGTGAGACCCTGAACACTCTGTAGACCCTTCCCTAAAAAATACAAAAGGTTAGTATGTACAGGGCTGGCCAAATTAGGGTATTAAAGCGCCTGCAAGCGGGTGTAGGGGCTAGGTATTTGATTCCCGGGCCTGCCATGCTGGCTCCGATGAGACAGCGACTGAGACTGGGTATGGTGGCACAAGCCTGTAATCCCAGCACTTGGGAGGCTATAAACAGGAGAATCACCACGAGTCCAATCTAGTAGTGAGACCCTGAACATTCTGTAGGCCCTTCCCTAAAATATTAAATAAATAAAATAAAAAGCAAAGAGTTGGAGACAGCTCAATGGCATAGGGACCTGCCTTGCAAAGTGCCAAAGTCTTAAGTTCCTAGTACCACAAAAAAATAACCTAAACTAAAAGACCTCCCAGGAAATATCAAAGAAT